ATTTCTATATCCATCTGTTCTTGCTTTTTTGGAAATGTATCGTTTACTGCAGGTCAAGTGTTGAAATTCCAATGTCAGTGGGTGGCTATGGTCACTAAGCATTATTTCCGCCTTTTTTAGAACGTTTGTCTTATGCAGATATTCAAAGTTACTTAGGTCTCTACCAATGGTTCTTGATGCCTTTCTCATCAACTTGTTTATGTTTATGATGTGCTACCTTCCCAAATTGCTACCATAGCAAGGGATACCAAAATTTATCAAAGTTCCTATTGTGGTGGTGAAGAATATCTGAAGGATGGATGGATTCAGATTAAAAGACTTAAGTTTCCTCAGAAAGTACAGCCTCTGATTCACCTTTTTAATGATATTGTTTAAGTAATTTTGCCAGGTAAATTTGTTGTCGATTGTAAGACCAAATATTTATATGAATCCATGATTTCAATTGTTTCTTGTTCAATTACGAGTGGTGGGATTGTTGGTTTTTCTGTTCTAAAATCAAAAATCATTTTTTTTGTTTTTGAGAGGTTCACCTTTAGTAAATTGCAATTGCAACATCTAATAAATATACATATTTCTTCGAAATACTCTTTTTCATCAAGGTTTATTAATCCAATAATAGCGGAGTCATCTGCAAACTTAATTAAGTGTGTTGTTTTATATTTACTTCTATGATCGTTGGTATATATCGTATACAAAACTGGTGACAAAACACAACCCTGAGAACCGCCGGTGTTACAAAGGAATGGGTCAGATTTTGCGCTGTTCAGCCTAACATATTGTGGTCTGCCTGTCAAAAATTCCAGGACCCATGCTGCGATAGGATGATTAACTCTCAGACTCAAAAGTTTTTCAATGACAACATGCGGTTGAATTGTATTAAATGCTGAGGAAAAATCAACAAAAAGCACTCTCGTATACATTTTAGATGTTTCAAGTTTTTGAGTATAGAGTTACAAAAAACAAGTACAGCATCTTCTACGTTCCTCTCTTGTTTGTATGCAAGCTGGAACGGATCTAGATTTCCATGAACACAGCCTAGAATATTTGAGAGGATCAATTTTTCAAGGCACTTGAAAGCAATGGATGTAAGAGCGACCGGCCTTAAATCATTTAATGATTTTCAGAATAAGATGGAAATAAAAATCCCTTAACAGTTCATTGAACTACCATTAAATAATTTGTCCTTCAAACCAAAGCACTCTACACCATCAGCTCTTTTATAGTAGAGACCCATGCCACTGATTTCAAATTAGAAAAACAAAACAAAACAAAAACAGACTGCAACAAATAAAGACAGTCACCATCTCTCACACATAAGTATTGCATACAAAAAACGAAACAACTCAATTCTTGTGGTGTAATTCTCAGGACTTCTAACAATCTTGTGAAACTATCACAATTTCCAATTCATATCAGTAACCAATGGCTGCAAAGAGAATATTCCCTTGAAATTTTGCTTTGAACAATTACTATATTCATCTAGCATAACTCTTTTTAACAAATCTAAAAAAAATTATTCAACTAGAATTGTAAACATCACATGTATGAGCTTCTGGTGAAATCAAATTGTGCATGATTCTCGATTTTCCCTATTACAACTATATTTTGTGATTCCTCTAGTCTCCTGCACTTACAACAGTTTATATTTCAATATAGCAAGTCAGTTATTTGATCTAACATTTCAAAGAAAACTCCAGCAAATAAGCAGAACGATCGCACTATGTACAACCCCAAAGCAAATTGGCAACTGTATGGTTTACCATCCCTTCCAGCACTAAAAGGTTGTCCTAGAGGAGCGACTTCTGTATTTAACATCCATTGTTAAAAGGATTGAGCCAAACAGCCGAGAAAACTCCAGAAACAAACCAAGTCTAACATCACCCCACAGGATATACTCTAGCTAAATTGTATTCGTTTTAACGCCCCTTTCAACACTGAACGGTCGTTTCAAAGGGTCCATCTCTGATAGGACCAAGGTAAGGTCATATGTGCCATAGCCCAACATTATTCCAACTGAGCTAACACTACCAGCATGCCAAGACCTGCAGGACAGAGGACAGCAACGTACCAGAGCGCAGGCCACCACCAGCATGTTCTCCACCTCCGCACTGGCCATCTGCAGACCCAGGATGTAGTTGATGGTTTTCCCTGTCACAGGCACGCCCACCACCCGCATGATGGCCACCCGCGGGATGGTGCAGAAGAACGGCACAAACAGAGGGAACACCATGCTAAACCTGGAAGAGAAGTACAGAAAATAAGAAAATTTTTAAAGCTCTATTGTCTAAACTGCCATAGGTGATGCATGTCAACCTCGGCAATATCGCCCACTAATGAGCGATTTGGTAATTTTAGTGGGCAATGGGGACCGTCCGGGGGGGTGACAAGTGTCATTTCATGGTTCTTTTGGAAATACTTATAGGTGGGCGATAAGAAAATTTTAGCCTCTTAAATATGGCAAAAGTGGGCGCTGGGATAGAAAGGTTGAAGAGCACTGGTCTCAGGTGACCGGCAAAAACTGAATATCTTCGGATCAAAACATAGCTTTGTGTTAAAGGGGGGTTATTGACGTAAAAAAAAAATTTCTACACAAGCTTAGGTTCCAGTTGGGCAGAGGTTGCTCTTATCTGGACTGCTATTACAAGGGCACCACTGCATTTAAAACTAGGACTTGCTAAAATTTTTACAAAAATTAACACATGAGTAAAACTCACAAGCCAGAGGGCATGGTTCCCAGCTGTATCTCAAGACGGTTGAGTACAGCAAACACCAGTAACTCCAATATGCTGGCTATTATAGTTGTAGACAGGAGATGAGACTGTGAAGAAAACATTTCAACATAATATTATGATATGACAAACAATTTACGATATCTAGGAGAAAGGTGTTTTGACCCTACCACTCAGAACAGCATTACAGACAGAGATACTCCGTAAAATAACTTTTTCACTTGGAATTTGGAACCCTCCATACTCCATGCAATCGCGAAGAGTCTATCATAAAACTGCAGATACTGGTGAAAAGAAAAAGAAGAACAGCCAATACGACAAATTTTGGGTGACAAATTTTAGGTGCATGTAGTCATGAGTCACATGTCATTATCAGTATTAAAAATTTGCAAAAACTTTGACATCATCCTAAATAATGATAACAGAAAATAATAAACAGCATTTGTAGAGCGCATATCCCGGCTCGCCAAAATACAGTGCAAGCAGCTGACTAAGCACTCAACCACTAACAAACTGACAACACCTTTTCGTGTCCATAACCCAGTACCCATTCCCATCAGGGTGAAATAATGAAAATTCAGGTTGATGTTCTTGTTGTTATCGATCCAGTAACGGTTGGGCTCTCACCCTTCTGTCCAATGCCATGTAGTGATAAGTGCAGGTTTGCTGCAACTGCTGTAATCTTCCATAGGGTCTTATTTATTAATGGTAGGTCTCAGAGGGAGAAGTGTAGCTCTGATGTCATTTAGGGCTGTGCAGTGGAACAATTGATGATTCAGTCTCATATGCATAGTCACACAAAGGACACATTGGGGGAAGTTCTGGTTTTATTTTGTTCAAGTGGAAGTTAAGCTGTATATTATGTTCTGTTCGTAAGCGGAAGATCATGGTCTGTTTCTTTCTCTGTAGGAGGTTGATATTGTCATTTCGTTTTCTCATGGTCATATATTTTAAAACTGCTCTGACTGTCTTTCCCGAGGCCCATCCATTCATCCAATCTTGTTTGTTGTTGCTTTTAACGATTTGTTTGAAAATTCAAGTAAAGTGCCTTTCCCAAGGACACAGCGGCAGCCCCTTGATGGGTTTCGAACCCATTACCCTTCAGTTGTGAGTCTGAGAGCCCAACCAGTAGGCCACAGTATACTGAAGTGCACTCCACGTGAATTTTCAGAAAAAGTCTACATGATACAGTATGCCCCACAACCAACCAAAGAAGTGAGTTTTCTTTAAACAGTGTTTACAACAGCTGAAGCTGAAAAGAAAGGAACATTCAGGGGTCTAGTGTTTTTAGAGGCTTGAGAATGGCATTTGGGAGCCTGTTTGAAGAGATTGCCAACAACCCCTAACCGTAACCACCACCTTTTCTCAAAAACTTTGTCTTATTTGATTTCCTCACCAACACATCTTTTCCTTGCTGGCTATGTTTAAAAGCAGGTTCCCCTTACCATTACTACAATAAGTAAATTAATTTATCATTGCACTATTAACGAAGGCAATCCTGGGAATAATGAAAAGACATGTACCTTGACCATACACTTAGCCAGCATATACCCTAATTTTTCCTAAATTTTCACGTTTGAATGTCAAATGCCACAACCTTGGAACACCACTTCCATAATTATTAATGATTTTCGTAATTTTAGTTTTAACACAAATTTCTTTCACTGCTGCCCCTATCACGCTTTAGTAGAATCATTGCACTGATAATGTCTCTAGCTCAAGACAAATTTGCAAAAAAAAGTTTTTTTCTGATAGTGATTTCCATTCTATAATCACAGTCATCAATTTACTTGATTAACACAGATTTTACAGCCCCGGCAACAATCCGAAGACAGGCAGAAAGAAGAAAGAATGAGTGAATGAAATGAAACTGGCACAAAAAGTTAGCCATGATGGCTAGTTGGATTTTGAGCAATCTGCAGGTAGAGCTGAACAATCCGTCAGAAAGGAATGCACAGCGGGATAACGGCTGATTGCAGGAAATGCAATATCTACAAGGTTTTCATAACATCAACTTATTGCCGAGAGGTTTACCGTAAATATCTGGAACTTAAACAAGATAACACGAAGGCAAGTATGGATCCTTTGCTATGGAATTTCAGTAGCCCTACGCTATTGCACCTTTTTACAGAGTTGATAATGATAGGGGGAGCAAGTGTGGAACTGTCCGAAAGTACAGATTACTGTAAAAGTACGGAAGATTGGAAGCACTGTTTAAATATACGTCTGTTCCTTTTGCCTTACAATAACAGACATTTGACTGAGCTCAACAGAATCTAGTTAATAAAATACAAACCACAAATTTTCTTGTTCCAAACCGCCGTTCAAATATTCTGAAGTTGTAAAAGAGTACTGCTGAGAAGAGTAAATCTGGCAACTCCAAGAACACCAGCTTCGACACCAGCATCTTTTTGAACTGGAACAAACAGAATCAAAGATGATGATGACAGAGACATGCCAAGTATGTTTCTGTGTATCTGCAAGAGAATCTAAATTAGAAAGAGCATAAACCACCATCAGGCAGTTCAGTAAAATAATTTGTGAACAAAATAGGCCTATATAAAAGATATGTGCCAACAACCCATGACCAAAAATAGGGCTTTTTTTTCTAAAGAATCCACCTCTTAAAAAACAGAGTTATTCGGAGAAAAAAATCGCAGTCCCTAGAACTCCAGTAGATAAAGATTAACGGTACAATAAGAACCAACTGTGACAAATAAACATGTGAACTGCAAATAAAAATGAAAAAAAAAGTTTAAAAAGCAAAAGTTGATGAATCCAAGACAACCCATTTTTATCCTATAAAGATATATTTAGGTTTCAGTAAGATTTTTATGCCACTTGAAACACAATGAGGTCATATTATAAGTGCCGAAGATTATAGAGCTGTTACAAGAGAATAAAAACACATAAAAGGAGAGATAAGGACGACAGATATGTTTGATAGGAAAGAAGGAGAAAAACACAGTAGAGCACCCACCAACCACCCGCTACACATTTATCCTGTACACATGAGCCATTCTCACAGGAAATAGTCTTCAAAAAAAAGTAAAATCCACATATCCCTTGGTTACAATACTTTTATACAAAAATTCTATCTTTATGAAAGAGAGGAGTCCACAGACCTGACGCTTCTCAAAGACATCTTGATTGTAGTGGAACAGCTGATGGAAATGTTGCAGTGGGAAGGCAAACAAGAAGTAAGTGATGATGGCATGACACAGGAGAACCTTGGTCGCTGGAGCTCCATCTGAATGATGAGAAAATAAGAACATTTAATTTAATTTTTAGTAAAGTGATGGTAAACAGAAGAACACCACCACAATAAGATCCATTTAGCGTTAGGAAAAAGTAAGACTGAAAGACAAACAAAAGTAGGGCACACCAGTGGTACCCTCCAACCATCCACTTTGATTTAAATTGAGCAGGCATTTGATCATGCAATATAACAATAGTTGTTTTTTTTCTTGTTCCTTAAAGAATAATTTTGAATGTTAAATCCAGTGCTCTTTAAAAGAAAGTCAGAGCTGAAGGCATAGAGAAAGTCAAAGGGACATATATGGACAAAGACGGGATAAAGAGGAACAATGCAGTTATAATGAAAAGTACAAGTGGTATTTAAAGTAACTAAAATCTTTGGCTCCACATAAAAACTACACACTGTACGTTGCAAGAACACATATATATTACCCTCTTCCACCACCCCCCCCCCCCACCCGAGTAACAAACTGCCGTCGAACCTGCTATGACGGCCACCAGTACAAACGGACACTTTCCATTCCCCCCCCACCCCCTACGTTTTTTCTATGTACAGTATAAAACGGGCACCTGTCCAAACCGGCCGCGGCCACCCTATTTTATCAACCCACGGCCAAATCTACCTGCCTAAAGCGGCCAGACTTTGCCAAAAATTATAATGCATTTTCCCCTGACGTTGTGGACACAAGCCGTAACAATTCATTCATCCGTCGTTGTTGTCAGTCCCTCCAATGGATGAAATGGTCATGTTGCTTTGGTCACTCCCAATGTTTACCCAAGTCGACAAATGGGTAACAATAAATTTTCAGCTGCTGGTATGGGAAGCGTGTGATCCCATATAACCTACATAAATAAGGCCAGCCCACAACTCAGTCGTAAACCAAGTCCAAAACAATTGAAGTCAACACAAACTCGCGACAGAAGTATTGCCCGTTCCCCGAGTGGTGGCGACCCATTTGTTTTACTATAACACTTGGCCTTCCTCGTCTGAAACATTAAAAGTCCCACAAAAACCCTCCTGTCCTCTCCCCCCTTTCAAAAGAAAAAAATTACAACAACAACACATTTTATTCAGCCCTAGGGCAGTCCTTAGCGTGCAACCACCTCCAGTTGGGACCTCAGCAGTAAATAGTTTGTTTTTTATTATTTTGATCAGTCCTGCCAAAGAAGGCCACTTTTCCCCTCGACAATCACAATGCATGGCCGTCTTACACATGTTCAACTGTATCAACAGTAGTAACTACTATACAAATGACAAAGTTACATAGTGTCCTCAAGAGTGTGAGTTTTACGGAAAATTAACCAACTTCAATCAAACGAACACACTTACAAAAACCAGCTGGTCCAGCCAAAGCAATCATGATGACTTCTCGCTGTAAAATAAAAAAATTTTAAAATAAATCACTGATTTTTATTTTAAAAATCATGTTGATTAAAATTTTTTAAAATCAATTTCAACTGACTTAAATCAACCCAGCTCTGATTTCAATTATAGAAAAAAAAAAGTAAATTGAATACTGAATTATTTTACAGTGAAAGCAGACTCTTATAAGCATTATAGTATGATCTTGTCTACTAGATAAACCAAAACAATCAAAGACACTAAGTTGACTAACATTACTAACAAGCATTTGACCCAGTTTGGATACTAAAAATCCAGTGTTTGCAATCTAAATCTAGATCTAAATCTAGTGTCTCATAAAAAAGATTTCTTTCACTTAGACTGAGCAACAATGTTGTGGATTAAGGATGCAACGCCTTTGCCACTGTAGTACAAAATTGTCTTTCTTGTTAATTGTTTACTTTCTCGCGTTTAATTCCGGCAAATCCCCATGTTTACAACCGATCGTCCGTGGCGGCGGGAAGTAACCCATCAAAAATGCCCCGCCGGCGGTCTAGGGTTACAGTGTAACGTAAAGTAACTTGTTTGAAGTCATAATTTAAGTAAGTAATTCAATATTTAGAAGTCCTAATCCCATCCTAATTTGATTCTAGATTTCCAGATCTAGAAATAGATTAGAACGAAGAGATAGAATCTAGATATAGACTCTAGATCTAGATCTAGATCTAGAATCAGGAAGATTGAAGAAAACCGGACCACTCGTAGGCTACATTATTGTGCGAGAATGTGGGGTAGGTGGGACGGGTGGTTGGGGTGGAGGAGGGGGGAGGAGAGTTCAGGGGGGTCTCCCCCCTAACAAAATTTTTATGAATAGAAGATCTACCGGTCCAAGATTCTCCATTGAGAGATAGATCTATTAAAAACGGGAAAGTTATGGGCGATTGTCAAGATTTCCGCGTTCAATTCCGATGTGCGTTTTTCATAGCCTCAGGTATGTTTCGCTGCGTTTTTCATAGCCTCAGGTATGTTTCGCTTTGGTCCCTAACCCCAATCCTCATTTTTCATAGCCTCAGGTATGTTTCGCTTTGGTCCCTAACCTTTTTCATAGCCTCAGGTATGTTTCGACATACCTGAGGCTATGAAAAACGGGCGCTTTTTCGGTAGTTCCCACCCCGCAATTGTTATTCACGGGTTTTGGCCCAAAGAGTAGGGGGGTTTCAGGGGGCTTGCCCCCCTGACCTAACAAAAATAGGAAGGGGGGTTTTAAGGATGCCCCCCTGAATTTTACCACAATTTAATGTTTTGCTGTTGTTAGGTTTGATATCTTAGCTCACCGCGAATCAAACGTATAGATCTAGATCTAGAAGTAGGTCAGGCTCAAATAAGCCTAAGGGGGGTGGGAACTACCGAAAAATCACCGAAAAACGCGGAAATCTTGACAATCGCCAAATTATGAATGGCCACCTCTATTCTCACCCGGAGTGAGAATAGTGCAGGCGAGTCTTGTGGCTATTCTCACCCGGTGCGCGTTCACCA